GTGCCACTCCTTTCAGCTAAGAACAGGAAACTGAGGCTACAATTTGCACAAGCTCATCGAAATTGGGACAATAGAAGATTCGCATCATGGATGTGCAGCCGACAAATCTGCGGCAACTGTGTGATGCCATCATGTCAATATGGACAAAAATCTCTGAGGAATGCTTCCAGCACCTTGTTGAATCTATGCCACGAAGAATTGAGGCAGTTCTATTTCGTGTAAGCTCCGCCCTCTAAGGCTATTGCAGATGGGTACCCCACGCGCGCGCTGGCGCATTCTGAAGAGCCGATAGTCCACGCCCACKTRMYGTGGGCCTCACCTCGGTCCGTATAAAAGGGGAGGACGGACCTGAGTTCAGCTCCCCATTTTTCTTCAGCTTCGGCATTCTGCATGTACCATTGATGACGCCCATACATGTAAGTGCTATGATTCTTTTATATTGCCATGGAATTCGTGTCCGGCGCCACCGAGCTATGATCCGCTTAGCCATCCTTCCGGGCTGCTCGGGGATGGTTTTCCCCCGGCACAACCCATTTTTCACTCCGGTCTCCTACCTCGGAAGAAGGTTGATCGTGGTTTAGCTGGCATATATTTCCCGCGGGTGTTCCCGCGGTGCGGTATTATGCTAAGCAATGGTGCCGGACACACTCGTGCCTCCATGGAGTCCCCGTTTTTCATAGCCGCTACTAGCTCACTCATTACAAGGATGTGGTAGCTAGTAGTTAAGGCATTAGACATCGACGTTTCCAGCCAGGACTGGACTGGAAGTTTTTCCCAGATATTCGGACCATGCGCTTCTCATCTCGGCATGGTCTGGCTATCTTCTCGGGGGACGGAGGTCCAGGCTAGTGTTTTTCCTGCCGGAGATCACGGCGGCAAACTAGCTAAGCCGGTTAGTCACCTAGCTAAGCTAAGCAACGCGCTAGTCTCAGCCTTTTTTGCGCTGAACTGCATCCTGCTTTTTTCAGCCGAGAAGCTGGAGTCAGGGTGCTGCCGCTTGGTGTAGCTTCTAGCCACGGATGTGCTRTGTAGCTTGACCAGGGCAGTTGCAGACTGCTGCTAGCTGGCTTGTAACACACGATGTGTTGGCTGCTATTGGCTCGTTCGCAACACGGAGGTGTTAGCTAGCTGGCTTAAGGCATCCTGTGGTCGGTGCTCCCAGCCAGGACTGGACTGGGAGCTCATCCAGACCGCTTAGCCAAGACGGGATTTTTGCCCCTAGCATGGAGATGCTAGCTACAATGCTAGGAGTTGCTTACTCCAAGCTGAAAGCTCCGGTCTCGTTCCACGCGGACGTGACAAAGTGGAGGGGGTGACCGTCTTCGGCTCTTGCCGGTCCCAGTACTGGAATCTTCATCCTCCATGGTCTTCGTCACTGAGGCAGAGCGGTCTGCCGGATGGTGACCTTTTTTCCCTCTCACAAGCGGTAGACCAGCAGCTTGGCAGCTGTGCCGACCGGTCCCGTCATCATATGGCACAGTTGGGTGCTGCAACTAACAGCATCACTCCTCAGGCTGCCAACTTAAAAAGACACAACAGGACCACAGCACAAAGGGCAGCACGAGTTTGTATCTCTGCGCTATTTTTTAGGCCGGGTGTGCGTCCTGCATCATATTTTGGAAGCAGGAGAAATGTGTATGGCTAAGGCTAGGTCCGCTAGTCCTGAAACTAGCCGGCCTCTGGTCCTTGCCAAACACAGTTTGAATCTCTGCACTGTTTAGGCCTGGTGTGCGTCCTGCATCATGGCTTGGAAGCAGGAGAAATGTGTATGGCTAAGGCTAGGTCCGCTAGTCCTGAAACTAGCCGGCCTCTGGTCCTTGCCAAACACAGTTTGAATCTCTGCACTGTTTAGGCCTGGTGTGCGTCCTGCATCATGGCTTGGAAGCAGGAGAAATGTGTATGGCTAAGGCTAGGTCCGCTAGCTCTGAAACTAGCTGGCCTCTGGTCCTTGACACAGTTTGAATCTCTGCACTGTTTAGGCCTGGTGTGCGTCCTGCATCATGGCTTGGAAACAGGAGAAAAGTGTATGACTATGGCT